GTTTATCTCCATAAGGGGCCTCTGTGCTCCCTGTTGCCCAGGGGGTTAGAGTGCCCAGAGATCCCCAGATTCCCTGCCTCTGGTCTAAGTGTCCTGTCCTGCCCCTTTAAGACTTCCAATATTTGTGGATTTTTTACTGTTTTGCTTAGGAGTTTTGTATCTATTATTAATATTAACTTTTTTTGTTTAATGTGTTAGGTGTCTTGTTTTTGTTCTGGCTTCATATAGTAAACTTAGAGGAGTACTGTTTTTCTGCAAGGAGATGCATAAAATTAGGGTAATCTATGCTACCAAGTGTGGTAGAACCCCTAGCAAGTGTAGCAGAACTCTCTATAAAGCCATCTGAGCCTGATGTTTTTATTGTGGGAAGATTTACCAATGGTTCAATTTACTTAACAGTAATAATATCCACTTAGTTCTACTAAGTTACATTTTTCTAGGAATTATCTATTTCATCTAAGTGCCCACAACTGCTGGTAGGTATTTGTTAATAACATTCTATCATTCAGATAATCTCCACAAAGGATCACCTCTTCCTTTTCACTCATGTTTCTTCTACTTCCCTAATGCTTTTTGCCAGAAATTTGCCCATTCTGTTAGTATTTTTTTTGTTCTCTATTTTACGCTTTTTGTGTACTTCTACGAGTTTCACTATTTTTTAATTACCTCCTTTCTACTTCCTTCAGTCTTATCCCATTGTTCTCTAGCTTCTTAAGAGAAATAATCAGAGGATTTCTCCTTTTCCGTATCACTTTAAGACAGACATTTCTCTCCAATCACCTTTTGCTACATCCTGTAATTTAAATAACATTTTCATTATACTGAAAATATTCTAACTGTTCTTTTATGATTGTTTTAGCATGTGTTAATTTTGAAATGTGTAAACTCATTTACCTTTTTCTTAACTTCTATCTAAATTATATTATGATCAGAAATCACTGTATTACCAAATCCTTGAAATGTGTTGAAACTCTCATCATGGACTAGGTATGTCCTCATTCTGGTAATGTTTAATGCATATCAGAAAAGGTGGTTAGATGCACTCACATACATGTCCATCAGGTCATGGTCGTAAACTATCTTATATAGTCATTTCGTATCTCTGCTGGGTTTTTTGTCTACTGACTCATCAGTACCAAAGAGAAGTATGCTGGAGTCTCTGATGACAATAATGAATTTATCTATTTCTCCTTGCGGTTCTACCATAACTGCATCATCCTTTTTGAGGTTATTTTAATCAGTATATTATTAAAATAATTACATAGTCTTGACAACTTCATTACCATTTAATAACCTTATCCACCCTTGTCCAAAGGCCCATCTTATTGGATATCACATCACTATAGCTTCACTGGGTTAGTATCAGCCTCTTAGTTCTTTTTTCAACCCTTACATTCACCTTTCTGTGCCCTTATGTTTTAGGGATGTCTCCTAAAAACAAAAACTACTTAGATTTTATTTCTTTTATAATCAACCTATCTTTGTCTTTTTAACTGACAAATTCAGTGCACTTACATTAAATATTAATACCTCAAACCTGTTTACACATATGAACCATTTTTTTCTATTTCTTTTAAAGCATTTCTTACTTTTTAAAATAAGTTCATATCTATCTCTGCCCTCAACAGGATGAAAATCTAGCAAGCATGCTCTCACATCTTGGGCCTCCTTTCCTGTCAACTAATACCATCATGTTAGTATTACCTATTCCAAGTTATTACTGATATATTCACTCTCTTTGAACTTAGCTTTTTTTAAAAATAAACTGCCACAGTAGTTTGTCAACTTTATGTATCTCTTACATATCCTGGATTACTCTCTTATTTATGTACTTCCTTCAGTGTAGGTCTAACGTTAGCAACTCAGGTCTCCCAATCTGTGGTCACTTGAGGGATACTGCAGACTCAGTCACCAAGCTGCAAGTGCTTGACCCAAGTCCTGGTTGCTCAGCTGGGCCTGCCCCTTCTATTGACATGCAGCTTTATAAAAGCCAGTCCCTGAGAGCACCTGGCTTATACTCTTGTCAATCTTCTTTCACAGGCATGGGAGCCCCACCTTTGTTTTAAGCATAGGCCTTGACTCTGGCACTCTGCCTCGCCTGGAGTACACTTGTAATTCCTATTACCCTACACAAAATGAACCCCCTGCTACTTATGGCCTCCAGGCCTCCAGATTTCCACATTTATCACTTGTTTGTTTCACTGCTGGTTCACAGAAACATTTACCTTTTGAGGTCTGTGATTGTACATTTTAAAATTCCTCTTTTTGAATTTTTTTCTATCATTGTTATGAGTTTGACAGAGGAGACTGAAATTCCCTGCCATCTTGACTAGAAACCCCATCACTATGGTCTTTCTTTGCTGCTTTAAAAAAAGGTCCCTTTTCTAGCCTTGTATTGGCAGAGTAGTCCTTCCCAGCTACTGGCTCAAAGTTGTAACTCAGTTCTAGACGCCCATATGCACGGGAACTACAGCACAGCCTCCCCTGCTATAGTGATCAGACCTCAAACCTCAGCAACAAGCTCAGTGTCAGCTTTCAATACTCCAGTTTTGCTCTCTGTTGCTGTTCCTGCCTATAACTAAGTCCTGTGATCCTCTTCATTTCTAGCACTTAGGAATTGAATTTCCTTGTGTCTCCCCTAATACTTTAAAAAATCTCACCCTTTAGCAAAATAATTTTTTCAAATTATGTTAACTGGTATTTCCATGTGTTTGGAGTAAGGCAGGAAAGCAAGAGAGAACAATTTTTCATTAATTCAGGTCAACATACTGAAGGAAGTTCAAATTATTTCCTTGTCTTTTAATCTAAATGATCACCTGTCAGAAATATTCCCCTACCCTCTTGGATTGCCTCTTCTTTTACCCCACAGGACCCTCTGTAATTTTGGCAAATATTTTAAACAAAACACCAAAAACATCTACTATCTATATACATAAAAATAAAATATGTCCTTCCATTGCCTAATATTCACACTCACCATTTCATTGGGATGGACCAGAAACAAATAGATCCCTGGATGTTTTTCAAAAACCTGAAAGGAGCAATTAGCTTGTTCCATCCGACACAGGGCTTCAACACATAAGTCATCTAAATAGAAAAAACAATGCAGTAAATATAAGACACAAATCTCGTCAAATTATCAAGAGTCTATAAACCTGGCTCATTTGATTGTTCTGGAAATAAATGAAAAAAACAATTTTTTTTTTAAACCGAGGCATAAAAATGCTGATGTAAATGTTAGAACAATATTTACCTATCTGAAAGACTAACAGGTTGAGCACAGTGTGTTCTTATGAATTATTCTGATTCTGCTAGTATATACACCTTTTTTTTCCACACTTGGCATAATTAGGATATATCCTTAGAAGCATGGCTATAGGTCCAATCCCATTAGCATTTTACATGTTGATACTAAGTTTCTTCCCCAAAAGGCTACTACACTCTACCTTCATTTATCGAAAAACCTATTTTCTCCACCGATTTAATATGCTACCATCAAACACTGAGTTTCCCAAATAGACAAGCATAACCTCATTTTACTGTGCTTCACAGATTCTGCATTTCTTACAAATTGAAGGTTTATGGCAACCCTGCATTGAGCAAGTCTATCAGCACCATTTTTCCAACAGCATTTGCTCACCTCATGTCTTTGTTTCACATTTTAGTAATTCTCACGGTATTTCAAACTTTTCCATTATTATAATACTTGTTACAGTGATCAATGATTATGACTTGCTGAAAGCTCAGATGGTTAGCATTTTTAGCAATAAAGTATCTTTTAATTGTGGTACATACACATTTTTTAGACATGCTATTGCACATTTACGAGACTAGTACAGTACAAACCTAACTTTTATGTGCACTGGGAGGCCACAAAACTTACCTGACTTGCTTTGTTGCGATATTTGCTGTACTGCCATGGTCTGGAACAAACCTGCAGTATCTCTGAAGTGTGCCTTTACTTGGTTGACTTCTGGACTCCCTACACTGTTCTGCTAGTCTCGATGGCAGCACTGTACTAATTTCTGTTGTTTCATGGGATTTTACTCATTACTCTTTCAGAAGTGACCTGAATAGACTGAGGTATTTACCCTATCAGATGAATAAACTTTAGTTTGTCAAGCTTCAAAGAATATTTAGTGACAGTGGCTGATTTAGGGAGGAGGGATAATGACTTGAAAAGCCTGAGGGGAGTTCCTGGAGTGGTGATCATGTTTAGCTTCTTGATCTGGTGTGGGCTACACAAGTGTGTTTCAGCTGGTGAAAAGTAAGTTTATATACAGAGCCGGTAGCTTACATACAGAACTGGCAGCTAGTGGATATAGGCCAGCGATGGTGCTAAACATCCTATAGTGGACAGCACAGCTCCCCACCACAAAGACTGGTCCAATACAAAATGTCAGTGTCAAGGCTGAGAAACCTTGCTAGAGACAAATTACAAAAATGAAAGTTGACTCAATGTATAAATGAATAAATATATGATTAGTCAAATATAACAAGATGTTAGCAATGAAGAGCTAACATATATATGGCATATATATGGTTTTCTCTGTGTGGTTCACTTTTCTATATGGAAACTTTTATAATAAAATGTTAGAAAAAATATTAAGTACTCTAATGATATGGTTAACAAACAGATTTTTATATAAACCTAAATTCCTACAATTCTTAAAATAATAGAACAGGCATAACTTATGGGAACACCCAAGATACTCACTAACACGCTCATGCAAAAGCAGATAAGGATATTTCAGTATTTCAAGAAGAGGAACTCGAAGCTTATTTTCAAAGTCTTGGCCGGTAAAGTCAAAGAGCTGTGCCTCTCCATTGTTGTCTACTATATATAATTCATCATCATCTCCAATGTCTGCCTTCATGGATTTTTCAAAGTGATTTATGAGACGTAAGATTTCTAATTCCCATAGAACCTACAGGAAAAGAAAAGTGGGCAATGTGCTTTGTATCTTAGTATTAACAAAATATACCAGATGTGATACTCTTTCTAAAAAGCCTTTTCCTGAATATAAAAATTTAGAAGTTTAAGGAAATACTAGACATCACAGATTCACATGAACAGTCGCCAAACACGGCCACTTTTACAATATAAGACTATGACTACATACAGCAAAGGATGTTTAAACACTGCTCTTGAAGTGCTTTGCTACAATTATCTCAACATCCCTATCAACTATACCCCACTAAAAAGGAAATGAGAAGTTGAAGCTTCTTCATCAAAGGCATGAGCTAGGCCTTCTAAGTCTTCCCTTCACATTCCCGCCGTGGAGACCTACCTTAAAACAGTTTTAGCATAAAGACACTGGTGAGCTTCACAACGAGGAAGCTTTGCAAATGCACATTCTTTCTCAACAGATGCTTAACTCATCATCCCCTCCTTTCTGTATTGTATGTATCTCTGGGCTCTGTATTATTTCTCATCAGAAAAATGTAGTAAGCCAAATATTCAAAAGCACATATTTATGTTTCACTTTGGTTACCATGACTAGAAAATATGCTGTCCTTAGAGGTTTACACCATTTACCCATTACAAAATAAAGAGAAAGAGAAAGGAGAAAAAGTACTAATCAAAAAAAAAAAAGCCCAAGCCATGTCAAATACATCATAAAAAAATGAACCAAAAAAAACCTATACATCACTTCACTTCATAAAACTGTTCTTTATCAAAATGACAAAAAATGAGGGATCATAAAATTCTGCTTTAGGTTTCAATTCAATTCCCTCTGTCAATAAGCATTTACTCAGCATCCACTGTATATACACCAGGCAATGAGTTAGGTACTACAGATGTATTAGCCTTCAAAGTTTAACCCACATCATCAGTTCCTTGAATTCTTCCAACAAAGTTCAAGTTTATTTTCTTCCTTGTTAGCACGCTCTGAAAAATACTGCCTGATGTAAATTACCTCATGCAAAGATGGCAACTCATCCCTTGCTTTGTGGTATTCAGCCACACACTCTAAGCAGTAGCAGAGGTCTTCATCAGCTGTTTGAAATTCTCTGGAGCGGGTCTTGGATGCATAGCGCTTCAGAAAGTCAATGGTGGTAACACCACCCGGCGTACACCAACAACATGTGCTCATTCTGCACCTAAGACTGGAAAATAGGGCATCTAAAGACATCAGGCCTATTCTGAGTGAAAAATGGCTTCATTTCCTACTAATGAGCCTTGTCTTCAACTTAAAATGTGCCTCCAAGCATTCAGAATGTTCTGCTAGCCAGCTTTTCACTGACTAAACTCAAATCTTAAAAATTTCATCTTAAACATTTTATCTTTGACACATGAAAAAAATCTAACAAAATGAAAACACTTCATCACTACTAAACATCATAAGGCAATATACAGCCATGCTACAGAAAAGACTCAAAACTCTGCAGCAGTCATGAAAAATACACAGGCATAAAATTCTCAATGTTTCCCAAGCACAGATATTACAGTGTTGTAGTAATGTACTGGGAGTCTAGTTAAAAGCTCAGGAAATCTTCTGCACTCCCAGAAATCCTTGGAAACATAAAAATCCATAAACATTAATGCATACCAGTAAGAAACTCACACTGAGGATTTTTTTTGAGTATATATACATTAATTTGCATATGTATGAATTGCTTCTGTAAATCACTGCTCATCAATGAAATGCACCTGTAAATTTTAGTAGCTACAAATGTCAACAGCTACAAAGTCTGATACTTGTAGTTTTTGACTGTCTCCAACTTTGTTTTTATGATACCATCACAGTGAGCCTCCACCATACAAACTCAAGTGAAATGGTTAAGATAAAATAATTTCCCAAATCCTAGCAGTCTCAGACAGCAAAGTAGAAGATGGTACCTGGAAACAAAAGGAAATTCCAAGGACCAAATGTGTCAAAGGTTTGAATAACATATATGAAGCAGGTTTACCAGAACTGCAAATAGCATGATACTGAGAAGATTAGCATAAATGATAGAGACCAAAATCCAGAAATATCTCCAACTCTAATAAGGTGTAATAAAAATAAGCTGTTATATTTTATTCCTAACTAAATGTATATAAATGCAAACAGAAAGCTTATTGTCAGTAAGCAGTGTATCATGGCTAAACAATAGGCAAATGTTTGCACTGAAATAAAAAATGATGCTGAGTGTAACTTATTCACTATGTAAGAATTTGTTCTCCATGTAAGAACTTGTTCGTTATGCTTCAGAAGATTGGAGACTGACGAAAATTAGGCTTGGGGTGGATTAATGATTGAGCACTGAGCATTGAGTCCCCTATAAAGAATTTTATTGTCGTTAACAACCATTTGATCAAAAAATAGGAGAG